AAGTCAAGCGATCCGTGTGGGGGCGCAATGGGAAGGCGTCACTTGCAACGACTCGAGGGTGACTGCATTGTGAGTGTTGTTCATCCTTGAATTCTGATGTGATCCTTGTAATTACGAGCATTCTCGCTTACTTTCTTAATCAAGTTTTGAACCAGAACCTCTTCTGATTTTCACCGTGCAGGGGATTATCAGCAATAAACGTGAAAGGGAAAATTGAAGGCGACATCGGGGGCCTCTCTGAATTAAGATCCTTGTGAGTAATGATTGTTCCTCATTTCGTACCAGCATTGTGTTTGCAGCATATTATGAACTGAACAACACACAACAAATTTGATGTCTAATTGTAAACATATGCATAAAACATATTTATTTTGCAGTGTCAGTTGTTTTGTTTAGCTAAATCTTGGTTAGGGATGGAATTCTTTTTGTAACGAATCTGAAACATTAACATTGCAGGGATCTTTCATTCAACAAAGGTCTCACCGGTTCTCTCTCTCCGCGATTAGGGGATCTGAGCAAGCTAAACATCCTGTAAGAACAATTTACCAAGCAATTTTTCACATCTGCACCTTTTGAACTTCATATATGCAACATGAGTTTTTATATCAGATAAGTATACGATACTGTTTTCATCTTTTAGGATCCTAGCTGGTTGCAGCTTCACTGGAAGTATTCCGAGTGAATTGGGGAATCTAAAAGAGCTAACCTTCTTGTAAGAATCGGACTGATAATTCGTACTGTTATTGCAAACCAATATGATGTTTTACTTTTCAAAAGTTTATATAACTTTTGTTTCTTTCAGGGCTTTGAATACGAATAACTTCACCGGTAGCATACCTGCTTCTTTTGGTAAACTCTCCAACCTCTACTGGCTGGACCTGGCAGACAATCAGTTGACTGGACCTATCCCAGTTTCAACCGCCGTTGCTCCCGGCTTAGACCAACTGGTGAAGGCTAAACATTTGTGAGTGTTTACGTTTTAAAACTCTCCATTCTGAAAAAAAAAAAGTTTCTAGTAAGGATTATGCCACTGCTTATTGCGTAAACATTTAACTGTTATATGAACTTGCAGCCATTTCAACCAGAACCAGCTTTCAGGTATCATTCCAGCCAGACTTTTCAGCTCCAAGATGGTACTGATCCATATGTAAGTTGCTCCGAACAATCAGTTTTTAGTTTTTTCTGGTCCTGTCTATCGGTTTATGTTCTATACTTGTACTCATCAACTGCTTGTCATTCTTTATTTGCAGATTGTTTGATGGAAATAGATTCAGTGGGACTATTCCATCAACAATATTTTCTGTTCAGACTCTTGAGGTTCTGTGAGTGAAAAACCATCTTGATTTTGCTTTTTCTTCTACATTTTAAGTGTAACCGCTTCTTGACACTTATTGGACTAAAACCGTTCTTGTGTGCAACAGTCGGCTTGATAGAAATGCTCTGACGGGACCAGTCTCCTCAAATATCACAAACCTTATAAATCTCGGTGAACTGTGAGTACAACTTCTCCAAGAAAATACTTTGATGTGCTTTTACCATGATCTCAGTGATGGTTAATCAGCTTTTACATGGTTTTTATATTCTCATCCAGAAATTTGGCCTACAACGATTTGAATGGCTCTTTACCCGACTTAACTGGATTGAATTCCCTCAATTATGTGTGAGTACATGGCATAGAGTTGTCATTTGCAATTTCAGATTTCTGTGGGTTGTTCACTTGTCCTTGTGTTGTACTGATATGTCCTAACGGTTTTTCTTCAGAGACCTTAGTAACAACTCCTTTGATCCATCAGAAGCTCCGCTTTGGTTCTCAACCTTACCCTCGCTCACCACTATGTAAGTCTGTAGGAGTTACACGATAATGCCGTAGGAGGTTCTGAAAACTTTATTGTAAAATTTATGTTTAAATTCTCTACTGTTATGACGCCAGCGTTTTAGAATATGGAGCACTTCAAGGGACCGTGCCAGAGAAGATGTTCAGCATCCCGTCATTGGAGCAAGTGTAAGTGTGAGGAGAATATGGAATACTAGGTTGAGGTTTTACCGCAATTTTAGTAAACTGACCATACATCCTTTTTCCGACTCTTGACAGGAAACTGAAAAACAATGCGTTCAACGATACATTAAACATGGGTGATAGTATCAGTCAGCAACTGACGCTTGTTGATTTGCAGAACAATGATATTCCCAGAATAACTCTGGGTTATGAATACCAAAATACATTAATGTAAGACGGTTTATGCGCCTTGATCTTGATTTTCTACGATATTGTGTATCTTCCTGGGACAATCTGTCTTAGTTGTCACTTTTACATATTGCAGACTTGTGGGGAACCCGGTGTGCACCAATGGGTCAAGCTCAAATGCTTTCTGTCAGCTTCCACAGCCAAATACGAAACCATATACTACCAGCACGAATTGTCCATCTGCTACATGCCCCGGGGGTCAGCAGCAAAGCCCTCAGAGTTGTCAATGTGGATATCCTTTCGAAGGAACATTGTATTTCCGAGCGCCCTCTTTCAGGGATTTGACAAATGTGAATCTGTTTCACTCACTAGAAATGAGCATATGGGTGAAACTTGGCCTCACTCCCGGTTCAGTGTCGCTTGAAAACCCTTTCTTCGACATCAATGACTATCTTCAAATACATCTGGCACTCTTTCCATCTTCAGGAACACATTTTAATAGGTCAGAGGTTATCAGGATTGGTTTTGATTTGAGCAATCAGACTTACAAGCCGCCGAAGGAGTTTGGACCCTACATTTTTATTCCAGCTCAATATAATTTCCCAGGTAATTTTTAATCGCAGTGTTACTTCATATACATTTTCCCTGCATTAGAAGATCAGCTAAACTGACAGTAAAAAACCCGAATTGTTTCAGACGCGCGTAAAAGCTCTATGAGCACTGGTGTTATTATTGGGATATCAGCTGGTTGTCTCGTTCTTGTTCTGGGCCTTGTGGTATTAGGAATTTACGCCATTAGGCAAAAGAAACGTGCGGAAAGAGCCATTGGATTAAGCAGACCTTTCGGTTAGTAATCATTCATGTTGTGGATAATTGGTAGACTGAAATTCTGTCATTAATACTAGACACTGGTCAGCTTACATTCACTACTCTTCTCTATCGTCCAGCTTCTTGGGCGCCAAGCGGAAAAGATAGTGGCGGTGCACCACAGTTAAAGGGAGCAAGATGGTTTTCGTATGATGAGCTTAAGAAGTGCACCAATAATTTCTCTGACAGTAATGAAATAGGATCTGGTGGCTACGGGAAGGTAAATATTGAACTCGTTCAGTAACATCTATGAAGTTCTGCTTGAAGGTAAAAGATTATTTTCATATACATTTGGGTTGGTTATCCATAGGTTTATAGGGGCATCCTTTCTGATGGACAAGTAATAGCAATCAAAAAAGCTCAGCAAGGATCAATGCAGGGCGGCCTTGAGTTCAAGACTGAAATTGAGTTGCTCTCGCGCGTTCATCACAAAAATGTGGTTGGTCTTTTGGGATTCTGTTTCGAACAAGGAGAGCAGATGCTGGTTTACGAGTTTATGCCTAATGGAACGCTTAGGGAAAGCTTGTTGGGTTAGTTCTGCATTTTACTTTTACTTCATACTTTTTAGTTTTCAATCTGCACTACTGATTTAACGTGTAAATCGTAATGACGAGCTTTGCTTAAATATGAGTTGCAGGGAGATCTGGTATTTATCTCGATTGGAAGAGGAGACTCCGAATCACTCTTGGCTCGGCAAGAGGACTGGCTTACTTACACGAGCTTGCGAATCCTCCTATAATCCACAGAGATGTTAAGTCCTCCAATATTTTATTAGATGAACATTTAACTGCGAAGGTTGCAGATTTTGGCTTGTCCAAGTTGATCTCTGACAGCGGAAAAGGACATGTCTCGACTCAGGTCAAAGGCACACTGGTAAGCTTTACAATTTGCATTTCGAAACTTATGATTTATAACTGCCTGAAGTGTGATCTGCTAGGGTAAGCGCAAAGCAGGAAAATCGTGTTTTCCAGTTCCAACATTTCTTGTATTGTAAGCTACTGTCTCGACTTTCAGGGATATCTGGATCCTGAGTACTACATGACTCAACAATTGACCGAGAAGAGCGATGTATACAGCTTTGGAGTCGTTATGCTTGAACTGATAACTGCTAGGCAACCGATTGAGAAGGGAAAATACATTGTCCGCGAGGTACGATTAGTGATGGACAAGAATGACGAAGAGCATTGCGGTTTGGGGGACTTAATAGACCGAAGCATTCGAAACTCAGGGACTCTCATCGGGTTTGGGAGGTTCTTGGAGCTAGCCATGCAATGCGTCGAAGATTCAGCTGCAGATCGTCCCACAATGAGTGAACTTGTGAAGGCTATCGAAACCATTCTGCAGAATGATGGGATGAACACAAACTCGACATCAGCATCTTCTTCGGCCACGGATTTTGCAACATCAAAAGGTGCTCCGAAACATCCCTACAACGATGGCTTGCCGAAAAAGGATGTCAATGACAGCTCCGGCACCTTTGATTACAGCGGTGGATATGCAGTTTCAGCGAAGATCGAACCCAAGTAGTAATTATAAGGAGTTCTGCAGAGTTTGGTGTTAATTAATTTCTTTTGTAATTGTAACTTTTTCTATATCCATATATACATAAATATAGCTAAAGAATATGTAATGTTCTTCGTGTCAACAGTCACATAGAAATGTAATCTTTGGTTGGTCTGTTTGAAATTGTTTTTGAAACAGCTGAAAGTGCTTTTTGACAACTAAAAACACTTCTGATGTAACGCTTCTGGCTACGTTTGACATAAAACTTAAAGTTAAGCATGAGTTGCATACACACTTTCTTGAGAAGTACCTAGATGTTTTTTCAGAAAGCACTTCCAAGTATTTTTCCAAATAATATCATTTATATAACAAATATTTTGAAAAGTTTATGGTAAAACCGGGTGACATAAGCGTTTGTTAGCAGAAATGCTTTCTACAAAAACGGTTTCAAACGTATCTTATGTTTCATAGAGAAGCACTTCCAACTTCAAGCACTTGAATTTCTAATAAAAATTTCGACATTCTTCTAATAAAAGCACTTCTAGCACAAGCGCTTTTGAGTTTTGAACATACAAAATTACACAGAACCCCTGCAGCTTACAATTCAATCCTCAGCTTCTTTAGAGAAGGAAAATATGAGAAACAAGCAAAACGGAACGACAAGAAATGCAGAAATCTTCAGCAACTCCTCACTCTCTTTTGAAATCGCTCCAATCCTCGACCAATCTCCACTGTATCCTGCATCGATGAATCCCAACCCGAACACCGCAACCGCAGCCCTCGCAAGAACCGTGTTCGAAACCCGAATCCTCAACGGAAAGACCAACTGTTGTTCCGGCAATGTCCTCGAATCTTCAGGCATATCTTTCCTTTTGGCTAATAAGAATGTGCTTCCAAATTCCCTGCCATTTTTTCTCTTCAGCAACAGATAAGGTGAGAGGTTGCGGCTACTGCTAAAGATAAGGCTCTTTTCTGCGACCAACATTTTTTCGCTTTTGCTCAACTTCTCAATTGGGTAGCTTATGACTCAGCTATCCGGAAATTTACCAAAAGGGTTGTACCTTTTTTTTTTTTTTTTTTTACTTTAAAGAAAAGCTTCCGGTACTATTTATTTTAACAAAAAATCACATTTTTATACTAAAAAGTCAATCCTGATACTATTCACTCTACCCTTTATTTTGTCATTATCATTAAAACTCAAAGTTTTCAAACCTTTTTCATTAGTTTTTTTTTTATTTTTTTTACCAAAACTGTTAAATTAGTTTTGGTGCTAGGCGTCCCGAGAGATTTTTCGATGTGACAAAATTACAGTTTAATATACTAGGGAAATTTTATTAAAACACAGTCAACCTCTTTTTACACCCAACTTTAAAAATATTTTATTCAAATTCCTATTCAACCCTTAGATCATCTCCAATAATTGGGCTAAAAGTCAAATATTTTAGCCCGGAAAATTTAGTTTTTAGCCCAGAAACAATTTTTCTGCTCCAACTGTTATGACCTAAAATTTTAGCCCGAGATTATTAAAGAATGAACTTAGGTTATTTTTTTTCTTAAATTAAATTAAAAATAAATAAATATGTAGACTATCATAAATTAATTTTATGAATATTTTAATCTAAAAATATTTTAATTCCGATAAATATTGAAAAATCACTAAATTTTTCACAAAGCAAGCTTTCAACTTTCACTAATCTTTCAACCTTGGGCTAACTTTCAATTCACCAACCGTTTAAACACCAAAATTTTAATTCACCAACCGTTCAACATCAAACTTTCAACTTTCACCGTTAGATTTGAACAAATACATATGTATTTATAGAGTTTTGAGGTGAATGTTGAGTTAAATAATTTTTTGAGCCGTTGGATTTAAATTTGGGCCGTTAGATCTTTTTTTTTTACTATTAGATTTGATTATATTTGATCTCAGCCGTTGGATTCAATGTATTTTAAAATAACATATTCTAAAAAAATTAAATTTGCATATGGACCTGTTTGGACTCAAATTTACACTATCGGCCCGTGTAATCAAGGCCGTTGAGTGAGCATAGCTCCCAACCGTTGGATGGAAAATAAGGGTAATTCTATTTTTAAATGATAATATTATGGTTTTTACCGTAAAAATTATCTTTTGTGAGTTATCTTGACATATTCTTGAATGTGATAAGATAAGATGCAAATTATACCTCCAAGCAAGCGAAACAGTCCGGATTAATTTGGAGTTGTTAGCAATGCAGCGAATTAGAACGGCTTGGGTGTATCTTCAGAAGATTGACATCACATTCGTTGCATGCACCTAGTCTAAAAGTATGGGGGAATGCCAAGATAAAAGTATTGGATAATGGTGACATTTAAGAAGCCTAGGGTGGCTAGGTCTTTTTAGGGTGATGATGATGTTGTCAGACATTATCAAATCAAAGACTAATTGCTCAGAAGAGATTACATGCAAGAGATAGAATTGAAAAGCAATCTGTGGGATATTAAAGATAATATTCTGAGGAATATTATTTTAGCCTGAATGTCACAGCAGATATACAACTACTATAAATACAAGAGGTCGTGCACCATTCCAGAGCCCCTCAAATTCAACACACAACTGCCCTGCGCAAACTCTCTCAATAACTTTGAGATTTTTTTTTTTCTCTTTTCGCTAACACATCTTCCGTTGGCATCAACAACATTGTGAAAGCAACCGGTGATATCTTTAGTCGGCATAGATAACTCTGTCGCTGTAGAATCAGCCGATCTCGCAGCATCTTCCGTTGGCATCAACAGTACTGCGGTGATGACGGTTGGTTACCTATCCAAATCTTGGTCGAGAAGGATTTCTGAATCCTTATTGATCAAGGTCATCTCATTAGCCTTCTTGGCGAAGTGAGGTGTTACAGCTTACTGAGCTCGGCGCATTGCACGCCGAGTTATTTTATGATTGGATACTCTCAAGTGGGATTTAGAGTTCGGCATTCAGACGGACGAATCACATTCACTATTAAGACTTATATCCGCTTTGAGTATTTGTGCCCTTACACTTTGGTGTCGATTCGGCGTGAGTTTACTCTGACGAATACTGTCACTGTGACCGAATTCGACGACGACGATTCGTGAACTTCGTAAGAATAGTAGCCTTGTCTTCAGGTTCGAGAACCCAAGAGGTCGAGACGTGTTCCTTCCTCAGTCGCAATCGCAAGACGTAGAAGTCAGCTGCACACCCAACACAACATCAACAAATTTTACTCCTCGGCCGAGCTCGGCCGACAAGTTGGCACGCCCCACATTCACCGAAGGACATAGTTAGCTCATAAATTACTCGGCATGCGCGCCACGTAGGCTTGGTAGTTTTTAGGGTCAACAGGACCGTTGGATCAACCAACTATCCTTAGATCTCAGCCCTTGGTTTAAAAATAGAGTCGTTGGGGTTTTTTAGGTGGCCGACATCCTATGACAGAGGGGCACACCCCTGTCGGGCAATGTCTGCAAACCCATCGCGTGGGTGCGTTTGAGAGTGACCGGGCCGAGATTGGCCCAACTGCTCGCGAGTTCACTCGCAGGGGGAATTTGGCCAAGCTTTGGCATTTGGCTTTTAGCCCTATGTTTTAGCATGGGTTGGAGGATGTTTTGGGGGGGGGGAATAAATGGAAAAATTTAGCATTTAGCCCATCATTAGAGATGATCTTATAAAACTGAAAAAACAAAAAACAAACTCAAAGTATCTTTTTACACCCATGGTCACTTCCACCTCATGCCCCACCAGAGATTTGCTGGTGATTTTTCAAGGCAACTTCTGCCTTCCATAGCAGCCCATTTACCTTCCACATATGGGTTCATCTCATTTCAATATATTTTTCTTATCTCACATTAATTTGGGGGTAAAGTGCAGAGTTTAAGGGCAAAAATATTAGAGTTGGGTGTGGAAAGAAGCTTTTAAGGTTCAAATAAAATTTCTTAATATATTAACTGTCATAATATAAATGGATGGACAAAAAAAATAAACAAGTATTTGAATTATAATATTTGATGTACCGAAACGTGTTTCCACACACTAAAATTTTCATCCGGACGCGGAGCCCATGCATGTTATTGCGACAGAAATGTTTTGGACAGCCACAAGTACTTTCGTAATCTTCCTAAGAAAGATTGTTTGAAAACTCAACAGTTGCATTTTAAATGAAAATTCGACTAACACTCAAAATTTATAGTCGGATTTGTAAATTTAAACAAATACAATTATGAAATTGATTTTGTGTCATATTTTCGCTGCCATGTAAGCATTTCACAGATGTTATGACTGAAAAAAACTCCGCCATGGTTAGTTTATGAATTTTGTTGATTCCCAAAACCGAAGGTCTTGGAACAACGTAAATCCGACCGTGAATCTGTAAATAATGTAAATAACACAAGATGTATCGTGGTTCACCTCAATATTTGGACTACGTCCACACTGATTATTGTATTTATCTGAGAGGTGAGGGAGATAACCTCTGAATATGAGAGCTTTGAGAGGGGGTGAGAGGGCTTAGGAAAATGGCCTCAGAAATGGCCTCTCCCAATTGGGAGGGTGAAGGGTTATTTTATAGAATAAGGAATCCTCACTTATTACATATTTGCCTCTTCCTTTATCATATAATTACATTTAAGTAATCCGAGTATTTATACGAGGTCTAAATACGGAAGCCCTAAATATGATATAAACAAATTTAATTAAGAACTTGTTTGGATATACTTTTAAAATAACTGAAAACATTTTTGATGAAAATATTCTTGGAACCAAACCTTAGTAAAAATGCAAGTAAATCCTGAAAAAATACTTAAATTGCTTCTTAGAAGAATCACATAACCAGTGCTTCTTGTAGAAAGCACTTCAAGTGCTTTTGAAACCAAAAAATATTTTCTCTAAAAACATTTTTAGTCATTTTAAAAATACATCCAAACGAGTTCTAATATTTTTGGTTGATTTTTATGTTGAAAAGACTAAATACATATTACCCGTATAAAATACAGAACAATTTGCTGAGCTTAGTAGCCGAAACTTGTAAGAGTATGACATTAAAATGAAGGGAACTTTAACGAAAAGTTCCTGCTACTGTTCACTTTAACGAAAAACCACGTTTTTACACTAAAAAATCAATCATGATACTATTCACTTTACCATTTATTTGTCTTTATCGTTAAAACTTAAAATTTTCAAACAATTTTCATTAGTTTTTCTTAAAATAAATTGTTGCTTAGTTACACATAAGCAACAAGATACTCGAGAACAATTTATAAATAATTTAGCTGCGCCTAGCATTAAGGTGATTTGTTGCAATCTTAATTAAAAAAAAAAAGTACACGAGAACAATTTATGTTGAACTTATTATGCATAATTATGCGGATAGAAATTTAAATATAAAATTGTATTATTAGATTAGAACGTTACGATAAACTCGTTTTATATAAAAAAAAATTGAAAAAATACAAATTATATAACGTATTATTTCACATCTAATTAAAATTTAAACAAAATAATTAAAATATCACACTTGTATAATGCAAGATAATAGTATACAGATACTAATTGTTGCTTATAAAGGAAGAAAGTCCGGTCACGAACCAAAAATAAAAAACAAACAAAATAAATAAATATCAAGCGAAGGGGTAAAGAATGTAATCCAACCAAAAAGCTCGAGACCACGGTAAGCTCTTCTCTTTTGTTTTCTCTTTATCTTTCCCTCAGAAAATAAGGACAGAATCACAGTTTGTAAGTAGGAAAATCCAATCGGTGCCGGACTGTCCAATCCAGTCCAATCCCGTCCCGTCCTTGATTCGGAATCGCAGTGCGAGACACTCTGAGCTCAGAAACAACCGATCAAATCATTGGAAAGAATGATTCATGCCACAGAGGAAGCACCGCGTTTCGCTTGTTGATGCGACGCCGACCGCGACGGCGATTGGGAGTGCGAGTGCGGGTGGGAGTTCGCATTTGATATCGGCACTGCAACAACCGGAGGGGGAGGAAGAAGAAGGAGGAGGAGGAGGAG